CGATGGAAAAAGAAATAATGCTTGGCATGATCGGTGGTAAACGGCGCAGAGGAAGACAAAAGAAAAGATGGATTGATACAATAAAAGAAGACACAAAGTTAACATTAACTCAACTCAACACAATGGTGCATAACAGAAACACGTGGAGAGGTCTGATTCATCGGATCTCCAAGAGTCGGACTCGACTGAATGGATAAAACAACAACAAAAAATCCTTATTGCAAACGCCGACCGAAGGAAGGCGTGAGCATTGTCTTCAATTTAGAAATAGTACTAGATCTCTTGGGATCTTTGGAGGGTCTCGTGAAAACCTTTTAGCATTGCATTATATTAGGAAGCTCACACATCAAATGAGAGAAAAATTCACAGCATATTTTAGATAGTTCCCCCACTGTGTTAGGGCGTAGACACAAGTTATTAGCAGGCAGACAAACGTACAGGTCAAGACATAATACGAGAGTGATTAGAAATAAGAATTTAAGAATTGAGAATGTGCCTCATTTATCACTTGCCTTGCAAGAACAACGATGGTCGTCAGAACTGTCGTAGTACCAACCTGCTGCTTGTTGAGAATGTTCCTCAGACTGTAATGTGAACAAGAACGATAATTATTTTATTCTGTATAGTTGCTGAAAGTTTACTCTAAGAAGCTAGTAAACTCCATAAATGCGCTTTAACTCATCAACAATCGTCCTAGATAATGTTCTTTGTCTGAAACATTTGCTTCAGTTTGATGGTTCTACGTTCACCGAGAATAAACGCTACTCACTTAGCGCCTTCTATAAAAATAATTAGCTTCGCAACCGTTGAGACGTCATTGATGAAACTTTCTGAAAATGTTTAAGTACTAGTCGTCGTTCATTGCCCAAAATTTCAGTTCGATTCGTCTGACGAAAAAAAAATCGATTTTTTCAACTCTCTCATAATGGAATATTAGGAAAAACCGGTTGTTTGCCTACAGAAAATTCTAAGTTCTACAATAAAAGTTTTAATTATTCATCATTATTTAGTTATCCGGTATCGTCGCACTGTCTGACCACCCTTCATTTTGTGTGCTATTAAACCAATATATTTTTTCTGCAGGTGTTCAAGTTCAAATAATCCAGGGCGATTTTGGACTCGACAAGAGAAAGCAGAAGAAAATCGGGTGTTAAATATGCGTGAGAAATAGGGCATCATTATGTCACCTTTTCAAGATAGTACAGTGGTCTTTAAAGGCCGGGGAACAAAATTTTCTAGGCGAATCGCAATTGCAAAGTCAAAAAACTTGATTTCTCGCTCGACGATGAGTTGGGGCAGATAATGGACTTGAGCATAGCTGAAAAAAGAAAAAGCTGTTCTACAAAACTTAGATACACAGTTTCTACAAACAAGCTCTGACGACCACACACAGAATCAAGTAAATCCTTTATGTAGGAGACCCTTTAATTAGCACAATACTGTATATGAAAGGAAAAAACATGGTCGAGTGAAACATTTTCCGTTTGGTGTCAATAGATTTTGAGTGGGAGCAATGTTCTTCGTGGAAAAATTTCCTGGCTGTGTCGATACTTCGAGGCTCTTGAAGGTGCAACAGCATCTTTCTTGCAAAGCTCATGTGTATCATAATATTCTAGTTGTAATTGTACACGAACCTTTCTTAGCTGATCCTTTGAGCTAACTTACGTGAGAAAAGAAGTCTTTAGTACTATCCAGATCGGGGAACATCGTCATTCGACAAACCGAACATGGAGCGGTTTCTTTAGATCTTGGAATTCCTAGAGCTCCTTGGGTTCTGCTTTGCTTTGGTTGATGATTGCTTGTTTTTTGATTGATGCTTGAGTTTTCAAAATTCTAGGAGTTCAGATTTCACGGAATTCAGCCACGTCTCAGATATTATGTTTATAATGTGGTCATATCTCAAGTTTTAGCAAAGTCTGTTCAATATATAACGTTGTATATTATATTCAAACATTCTAGAGTGGAAAAACTAATATATAGTTTAAGAATTTATTCAGAAAGAAACTGTTATTATATAATATTAAAATGTAATGGCTTCTCTAATCACAATCCAGTCATCTTTTCGGCAGTTTTCGAAAAAAACTGCTTAATAAGAACAGATATAAATAAGATACCGAACAGCAAAATAATCGACGGAATTGATTTTTTCAAGATTTTAAGAAGAATTGTAAGTATTTTGCCATGAACAGTAAGGGTAGGATCCGGTTCTCGATTTTCGATGGCAACTCGATGCATCTGCCAGTTATGCCATAATGTGGCAATACCTGAACCAACGCCAGTAAAGGGTAATATATTAAAGATCTGAACTCCTCGAATATCGTATTGAAGAGCTTGTGCATCTTTATGTGAGATACTTTGATCGAGTAGAATTGCTGGCAGATTGAACTGAATACAGGTTGGTCGACTGATACCAATAAAGTCGCACGCATTAGAACGAATAGCGTCATTCATGCCCTCACGTGTACGAAATCCACCGGTGACTATAAGAGGAATTGTAGTCGTATTGCGCACTTTGACAGCGAAATCAATAAAATAAGCTTCTCTTGTACGAGTACGTTCTGATCGAGGTTGATATTCAGTTCCGGCCATGGCGGGAGCCTCGTAAGTTCCACCGGAGATCTCGATAAAGTCAATACCACCGTGTTCATTGATCCATCGAATTTGATCGTGTGCTTCTTCTTCAGTTAAACCACCCGCACTAAAATCGGCTGAATTGAGTTTAACACCAACAGCAAATCTTTGAGGAACAACCGCTTTAATAGCATCGACTATATTGAACAAAAAGTTCATTCTGTCCTTTGGTGTCGCTCCATATTCGTCTCTTCGTTTGTTAGTTTTGGGTGATAAGAAGCTACTAACTAAGTAACCATGACTAGCATGAATTTCCACTCCGGCAAAACCTGCTTTGACCATGATTTCAGCCGCATCAGCAAATTTCTCTACAGCTTCGTCTATTTGAGCTCTGGTCATCTCTTCAGGCGTACCAATAACAAAACGCTGCAATGTTCTGGCTAAAATGTTATCACCTATAGACATTGGGATAGGACTAGGTGCGATAGTAGGTTGCTTGTAAGGTCTTTTCCCCAAAGGTGACTGGCGACCTGCGTGATTGATCTGAACGATAGTTGGAATCCCATGACTTTGACAGACATCGGCATATCGTTTCCATTTTTCAATGTCTATCTTATCTTTACTCGGAATCATTATATCTGTCATAAGACCAGGATAACGCTCATCAACTTGCACGTTACCCGTTAAAAGAAGACCAAATGAACCTTTCGCCCAACGCTCGTATAGACGATAAATATATTCGTTGGGTTGGTTATCACCACTGCCGAGTGACTCTTCCATTGCCGCTTTGACAATTCTATTGGATAGTTTTAGCCCACATGAAAATTCAAACGGCTGTGCAATCGACATTTCATATTGTGACATGTGTCAAAGAATGGTTTGTGCTCACACAGACTGCAAGGTGATAACAAAAAGAACAGACTGAAAAAACGAACTGCCTAACTAATCTTTTTCACTCAAGAAAAACAAGACAAGTGTATGAACTAGACATTGCGTCCGTTTACATAAGACACTTTGAGCTAATTCTGATTGGTCGATACATAGCTAAATTAATATTTCTATTTTTTTGTCGCATGAATTTGAATTTTTTTCAAAGAACAGGGGACGATTTGAGGCCATTTTGTTCAGTTAGAAAACAAGGGTCGTTTGACGTGAAACGTTGAGGAATTGTAGAGTCCAAGTTAGTAGTCGCCCCTATACGTTTCAGCTTCATCAGTCAAACTTTCGCCTTGTTTTAGTGCTCCGGCAAATAGGTTCCATTGTGACCTTTAAGAAATGAGTGAGAGACGGGAATCCCTTACGTTATGGTATGTCCTGTACGCTTTTCCATCTGTTTCTCTTATGTTCAAATATAAGTAAATTACTTACTGTCAATTCAACATCACAGTAAGTACAAGCGAACCCATTATATTATACAAACAAGAGCACAACAACAAGCAATTTTTACAGAAGAAACACAAGGGTTAGTTGATATTCAAATCGAACAAACAAACAACAATCAAGCACAAACGCAAATGTAATTATTTATTGTCCATCACAATTCATTTTGGCAAATAAAATCGTCCAAACACTGCTAGCACAAAAGTTAAAAGGAGCACTCAGATTTGAAGAAAAAGTGTTGAAATGGTTGAGAAATATTGGGAATGCATTTAAATTGGCGAAACTAGAAGACACAACAAAATTAAAACTGATATCAAAGTATTTAGGTGGCGAAGCGTCTGATTGGTATCTCAACAATATGGATGGTTTAGATATATGGAGCAAAAACTTTGCGACGAAATAGCTAAAACATATTAGTCACCAGCAGCGTAACAATTGGCTGCCACCCTCACCAACCGACAACAATACAGACCATCTGATACTTATTACCGCCAACAACAACAACAATATCCCCCCACTCAGATTCGTTATAATCCACAACCATCACCACCAATATGTTATCGATATAACAAATTGGGTCATTTTGCTCGTAATTGTTGGCAGCAAAAAAACTACTAACGAAGTCATAGGATGGTAGTGCATCCAAGTATCAATATCCATCAGCCTTAATTTTTATCAACACCACGATTAATACCAAAAGGTGCAAGCTGTGATGGACAAAGGTGCTACAACGTCGTTAATAACCATATCAACATTATGAAAATGTTTCATCGAATTCAACAAAACCCTGGCGAAATATTGACTATCAAACCATGTGAATATCCCACTGAAAGTAAGTGATTCTCGTCTCTCACTCTCATTCCCTAAAGGTCACGAGGGAGCCTACTTGACGAAGTACTAAAGCAACACGAAAGTTTGACTAATCAAGCTGAAACGTTTAGTAGTGACTACTAATTTTGGATTTTACAATTGCTCAAAGTTCCACGTCAAACGATCCTTGCTTTCTAACTGGGCCAAAATAGCCTTAAATCGTCCCCCGTCGTTTTCTAGCTTTCCTTCTGCATGACATTTAGCGAATCGTTAATCTCTAATCACCGAATAATCTGAGCTATTCTAACGTTGCAGCGGATGACTCATTTGTTCACTTCTATTCTCCGTTTATCCTGTTCTTTTTTGATGTGTGCAAAAAAGAATCCCATTTTTCAACTATATCTCTTCTAAAAATGTGTGAGATCTCGTATTCTCAGTCTCGGTCAGAGTTCCGATAAAATTTCTTTGTCTGGATTCGGTCCCAGCGCCGCACAGCCAGGATCGAGATTGGAACTGATCCCACACATCTCTATTAAACGCTCAGAAGTGTGCACAGAGCGTAAATTTCCAAGAAGAATTCTACAAGTATTCTGCAGATGAGACTTACATATTTTGTTGCCAGTGCACTCATCGTATTTGTTCTCGACATACTGTAAGATGTGCTCCGTGTTTTATATACTCATATTATCGTGCTACTTTAACGAATAGCCCATTAGTTTTTGTTTCTTTGCGAACCAATGTGCTTCGGAAGACATGAACGAGAAGTGCGTACATGGACGATGACTGGTGTCATATTTTTTCTTTTACGTTTTCTTTCTTTTGTTTTAGCTTACTTACTTTTTTACCTTTTTCTTTGCTGTCTTCTACTTCTTTAGTTGATGTAACTTAAGGAGAGAAAGAAGTGGTTATCTTCTTTCTTTACGAAAATAAACGAAGGAAGAAGATGAAAAAGAAAGAAGGGAAAAAATAGACGTCAGATCTATTGACGATCTCAATACAGAACGAAAAGGAAAAAGACATTCAGGCAAATATGTTCAACGTAGGACGACAAACACAGAAAAGAAAAGAAATTATGTAATCGATTGTGTTCGTCGAAAGACGAATGCATCCGGTTATCAAAGAAAATGTGTCATATAGTTCTCTAATAATCTGATAGAATCTGAAAATCTTTTTAAGAATTCACGCTTCTGTGTTTAAATTTCAACCATCGATAAAGCTCAAAAACTGTGATTCTCACCATAAAATGATTAACGATCGATTCCAATGCTATTCAATTCGAAATAATAAGAAAATTTTAATTTTTTTCCCTTTGAACCTCTATATTATAGTGAATAAATTATTCTCATCGTTGAAGGCATAAAAATCTCTTATTCAGATTGTGTAAATTAAAGCCTAGTGAAATTTTTAATCTATCATCTCGAACTATCGATTATTTTGGGTTTATTCTCGTTCATTTTTTTGAAGTACTCTTTTAGATTCACAAATGATTTTCTAATCATGCTTTTCAGAAAATGGAGTATGATCGTCTCAACTGATTATCTTCTTTTGAATATTTCTATTCGACCAGTATTTGTACATAAAAAACTGGACATCCACTATTGCATTTAACAGATAAAAATCGAAAAATTTATTCATTAGAAAGGCCTATTTTTATAAAGACAATGGAAAAAATTTTTTTTGGAAAACTTCTTATAGTAATTAATCAAATTCAACGCTGATCAAACGCGAGTAGTCCATGTAAAAATAAAGCGAAAAAGCTGGTTTAAAGTAGTTTGAATATTAGGCCTTATAAGGATGAAACGTTTGCCATGTCTTATGGATCCATTGTACAAATGGGTACCGTAAAAAATGTTCCGATAAAAATTGAATTCTTGCAGAACAACCAAATTTTTATTAATTAGGCAGATTTTAATCGTTTATTTTGACAAAAATTTTCATAGAAATTCATTCGAACCATTCAACTCTTCCGCAGAAGTTAAACGACCAATTCTAATCTGATGAAACTGCGCAAATGGTCATGTATTTAAATGGGCAATATTTTAATGACTTGTGAGTAAAACTCATGTTTTTAGAGGATTTTAAGCTAAGTCCTATTGGTCATTTCATTTATATGTGCAAGTTCAATGGTTCATACACATTTCGATACAGATCTTTGCCCAAAATAGGTAAAACCTACCTAATACGTTATAATCGGAAGTTGATTGAAAATCATTCGATTGAGTCGAAATATTTTTCACTCGTTCGAGTCATTTAAACTATAGGGCTTAAACATGTATGCTTTTTAAGTACAAATATGAATGTTTATCAGTTAGGAAAAACTGGAAGGATATGGAAAGCATTTTTACTGAAACTTAGCCTTTCAAACAACTAGAAACTATTCAATATTATGTGTATAATATGTGTGTGCAAGTTACACTGGCACTGCTTACGAATTGGATGTTCCTTATAGACGAACGGCTAATGACTCAAGGATCAAATCGCTGCTTCAACTATTTTTGAAGTGTATTCTATTGCTAAAACACAGTAAAATAAGCACTAATTCTAGTCGTCTCTCCTTGTCCTATTCGCTCGATTTCGTTCTCACCTTTTTCTGTTTTATTGCCTCTCTGTAGAAAATAGTGACGAAGGACAGAAAACAAAAAATTAAGAAGCTACGAACAAGATAAGCAAGATAATCAAATATTTGATGTTTTCATACTCTCAAATTACCCCATGTTCTTCATTTTTATAGGACTGTCGAAAAAGAGAGAGAAACCATGGTTGCGCTATCTGAAATTATTTATTACTGCTCTATATAAACTTCCATCCATTCCATATCAAATGGTTTGACGTGGTGTTAGAGAAGATCTAAACAAACAATACCGTAAAAGCGATGAACGAGCGTGGTGTTCAGTGACAAAAGCAGACAAACATTTGGAAAAACGCGTTTAAACGCTCAAAAGGGAACCGCGATTGTGAGTCAGTAACGCTCATTAAAAAAACGCAAGAAACGCGTTTTTTGCGCAAAATTTTCA